TACTAGCTACTGGTTACTAGGTTACTAGGTTACTAGTTACTGGTTACTAGGTTACTGGTTACTATGTTACTAGCTACTGGTTACTAGGTTACTAGCTACTGGTTACTAGGTTATTAGCTACTGGTTACTAGGTTACTTGCTACTGGTTACTAGGTTACTAGCTACTGGTTACTAGCTACTGGTTACTAGGTTACTAGCTACTGGTTACTATACTAGGTTACTAGCTACTGGTTACTAGGTTACTAGCTACTGGTTACCAGGTTACTAGCTACTGGTTACTAGGTTACTAGCTACTGGTTACTAAATACTAGGTTATATTACTGGCTACTGGTTACTAGGTCTCAAGCATTCTTTAGTATGGAGGGCCCATTGATTTGGTTAAGTGCTAGTAAACCGTGGAGTACCATGTCAGGAACTAAAATTGGAATAGTTGTTGTCGTTGATGGAATTGGACAGATGTCGTTGATGGAATCGGGCAGATGTCGCTGTCGGACAGATGTCGTGTTACCTAGAATTGGTAATTGAATATTAATAATACTCCAAAGAAATAGAATTAGTCGTATGTACCACATTTAGTTTTAAATGGTAATCGTTGACATCATTCAATTTGCAACATGACAATTAATGCTAGTCAGCTAGTTGTCACTTGCAATCAAGATACCAAGATACCATTATATAATATTATGTTCATGTTATCTAAAGAAGTACACAGACCAGTCCGCGTACTGGTTCGGACTTCTTGGCTACTGCCCATCAAACAGCTCATATTAAACTGATTTAAACTACTAGGCATTCCAAATACACGGTGGTAAGACAGTTCCCGGGAGTAATAATGAGGTAGGAAGTGTAGTTCTACAAGCACGTGATATGACGTCACATCACGTGATATGACGTCACATCACGGGATATGACGTCACATCACAGGATATGACGTCACATCACGGGATATGACAACGTCACACCACGGGATATGGCGTCACACCACGTGATATGACGTCACATCACGGGATATGACGTCACATCACCTGATATGACGTCACATCATGTGCTTGTAGAATATAGAACATGTATGTGACTTGAACAAAGATCTGCATCAAATGCCTGCCTGGGATGCACATTTAGACATTCAACGAGCTTGTATGTCTTTATAAGCAGTCTTAAATTCACTTCAATCCATGAAATTCGATCGAATTATTAACTTATGTTTCAATTAAATTGGGCGGATTGACACGAGGTAACCATGTAACCATGTAACCATGTAACCATGGTAACAGAATATTTGGAATGTCTAGATGCCCAAAACATGAAACATGCCCCTTTCTTGAGGGATTTCGCCTGTATAAAGTTATCGTTGCTGTTCGGTGATCAATGAATTATTCGGAATATTCATTATTCATTAAATGTAACCATGGTAACTACCAGGAATATTTATTGTTCATTATGTAACCATGGTAACTAGGAATATTCATTATTCATTATGAAAAGAAGCAGTTTTACTTCATTTTCCACACTTGTATTTTCATGTATTTTCCCCTTTCTGTATTGCATAATGTAATGTATAAATTATAATGTATTGCATGAAGTATAATGTATAATGTATTGCATGAAGTATAATGTATAATGTATAATATGTAATGTAGCTTTTATCTTAGCAGTCAGTTACTCCGCGTTGACTGAACGTATAATTTGCAATGTGAACTTTTACATTAGAGCATAGCATTACCTACAGCATTCCCTGTTAAGCATAATATAAGATAATTACTATTAATTACATATATCTTAATCACTGTTAAGCATATAACTTAATTATTATAATTTATTATACTGCATGGACTTTTTAAGCATCTCGTATTTTATGCATTGAAGCTTAACAAGAGTAAAGGAAGAACACTTGTACTTTGTGTAAATACTTTTATTGATTTGAACACTAATCAGAATATTCTAACATTACTTATTTCCAGCAACTTAGTTGTAATAATTGCTGGAAATTATTTAAAATATTTGCTTGATGAATCATCTTTGCGTGCTTAACTGTACCCAGTATGTAATGGTGTTGTTCAATTGCAAACTATGGTAAAAAAGCGATTGAACGGAAAAGTTTGTTCAATTGCAACATAAACGTCTCGGGTTATTACGTCACACCACGTGATATGACGTCACACTATGTGATATGACGTCACATAAACGTCTCGGGTCCCAAGATTAACTCTAGCTCCTTATGTTTATTTAAGATTAAGGATGCTATTAAGCACAAGGGACAAGCTGTAAATGTTTGATCTGTTTCATGAAGTTTCATGAGGCTAGTTTCTCATAATCACGGGCAATATTTTCTAATAATCACAACTCCCAGGCAATAAAGATGGAAGAAGGTGAGTTCTACGCAATAGAAACGTTTGGCAGCACAGGGAAAGGGCTGGTTCATGATGATGTGGACTGCAGCCATTACATGAAGAACTTTGATATTGGACACGTGCCAATCAGAATTAACAGGGCTAAAGGTTTTGATTCTTGTACTTATCTAGAGAACATTTTCTTGATTAGGTTATTAGCTACTGATTACTAGGCATTGTCTTGATTAACTCTGTTGACGATAATTATTATCCGTTACTTTGAATCCCTACGGAGAATTCCTTACTAGCTACTGGTTACTAGGTTACTAGCTACTGGTTACTAGGTTATTAGCTACTGGTTACTAGGTTACTAGCTACTGGTTACTAGGTTACTAGGTTACTAGCTACTGGTTACTAGCTACTGGTTACTAGGTTACTAGCTACTGGTTACTAGGTTACTAGCTACTGGTTACTAGGTTACTAACAACTACTCTCCTCACAGGGCTACTGAACACGATAAACAGACAGTTCGGAACACTAGCGTTCTGTAAACGTTGGGTGGAGAGAGCGGGTGAAACAAAGTACCTGCTCGCACTCAAACACCTCTGTGATCTTGGTAAGTCAAGCTGGTTACTGGTTACTGGTTACTGGTTACTGGTTACTGGTTACTGGTTACTGGTTACTGGTTACTGCCTACTGGTTTCTGGTTACTGGTGGGATGGTTACTGGTTACTTATCCGGTATTTTGACTCCCAGTGCTTCAATTTGGTTACATACCATCATCAATTAACTGACTAATTGGTTTCTGGGCAAAAATTTCATCCAATCTGTCAAATTTGTGTACAGAAAATTTCATATTTGAAAATGGGACAGAATTTTAAAAATACAACTTTTTGTTTTGTTAAGCTTTCTGCTGTGGGCTTCCTCCGACCGAAATAAAACTTCCAGCACCTCAATCGTGTCATATGGCATCTATAGTTGACTTACTAATTGGTTGCAGGTGAAAAAATTAGTCAAAACTGTACAATTTCAGTCCTGGAAATCTCATCTTTAAAAACTGAAGGACTAGAGACGGGACTATATAATTTTGCAATTATAATTCTCTGATGTTGGTGTTATTATTATATATATATCTCTCCTCGATACAGTTTTCAAACTTGACACTCATTTTTTGCTGTGACCCTAGCACGTGTCCCTAACACGTGACCCTAGCACGTGTCCCTAACACGTGACCCTAGCACGTGTCCCTAACACGTGACTCATAACACGTGATCTCTAACACGTGACTCTTACACGTGACTCCCAAGGTATAGTATAAACGTACCCGCCCTAGTGGACCAGAAGGCTGCTACTCAGCTCAGATGGAGCAACACTATTGTCCTCAGACCCACCTGACAAAGAGGTAATCTCCCGTGGAGAGGACTACTAGCTCCTTCATAATATTAACTGTTCACTGGAGAGGACTACTAGTGACGAGAGTAACTGGTTACTGGAGTCTCTTATGATACATCAGGGACTTTGTGCTCTGTTTTTTGTTTAGTTTTCCTCAATTTTAATATTTGAAATCATGGTTTTAGATAGAAGATTATATTAGAAGTGATTGTAGTAAAATTAAGATACATTCAGTGACCCTGATTTAGAGGCCGCGCTTTTGAATTTTCGTTTTATTAAGTTCCTTCAAAAAGATGGATTCACCTTAAAAGTCAGGCTAAATGATTGTAAGGTAGTTGCAAGGAGATAATATGCACATAATTCACGATACATTTTGGAGTACATCAGAAAGTTAGGAATGTCAGTTTTTAGAGGTAGTACCACAGAATTACTGTTACTATGAGGATTGTCGTTTGATACGTCATTATAATTGCTCTTCATAATATTACGTTTGTTACGTTCTTTTAATAGGCATATGTGTGGTCCTTCTACAGTGGTGGATTTCTTTTAAAATTGTGAAACATGATTGCTTTTTAAATTAACATTTTCCATACTTATTTTGTACCTGATTAACTTGACCGATGTTTTATTGTGAACTAACTTATAAATAAATAAATAATTAGCAACTAACTTAGATGATGTAACAACCAAATCGATTAATTTGATATTTTGACACGTTGTCTAGGTAAAATCGTTACATAATATTTTTAAGTTCATACTTTAACAGTGAAATCTTTGTAGCAGTGGATAAATGGTTATGGTTAATGGTGTAAAGGTAGTTCCGATTGATAACAGTCTCACTGGTTGTTGTCGGGTAAGTTCACTAGGTGTTACCAGGTACGGTGTTTACTAGGTGTTACTAGGGCGTAAGGTGAAGGTTCTAGGTGTAACAGGACCCATGTGTTGGCGTTACTAGGGGTAACCAGGTACGGTGTTACCATGTGTTACAGTGTTACTAGGTGTTACTAGGTTTACTAGGCGTTACCAGTGTTACCATGTGTTACTAAGGTGTTACCATGACGTGTTCCATGTGTGCGTTTTACCACTTTACCATGTGTTACGGTGCATGTGTTACCATGTGTTACTAGGTTTAATCACCATAACTTGCATTGAGCAGTTTGTGGTTTAAATGAATTTTGAAGAGCACAATAATTAACTAATATTTGATTTTGCTTGTTTGCGCTAACTCAGTGGGTCAAATAACTAATGTTGTTTTAACGGAGTTTCCTTTTTTCAGCGTCAGAGTTACACACCTTACAGAACGCTATCAACAACGCTATCAAACCTGATGGAGTCCTCTTTGACGACCCACCTAACAAGAAGATGAAATTGTGAGTCTTTTTGTAACCACTATTCTGAAGTAGAAACAACCGTGAAGTGTCTCTCAAGTACATGAAAACAAAGCTGGACCAGACAATATTTACTATCCCGCCAAATTACTGTAAAATAAAGATTTTTAAAACGTCTTCATCTTATTAAACCACGATATAAATTTGCTGAGAGTCAGTTGTTCTGAGAGGTCAGTTGTTCTGAAGCTGAGGTAGGTCCCATCTTGTGCAGTTGTGCAGTAAATCAAACCCTCTCTCACTGCAGTGACAAAAATTGCACCCATCTTTAATTAAACGCCTCCCCCACCAAGTAAACATTACTCATGTGCACACACGTCACGCCTCCCCCACCAAGTATACATTACTCATGTACACACGTCCCGCCTCCCCCACCAAGTATACATTACTCATGTGCACACACGTCACGCCTCCCCACCAAGTATACATTACTCATGTGCATCACACGTCACGCCTCCCCCACCAAGTAACATTACTCATGTGCACACACGTCACGCCTCCCCACCAAGTAAACATTACTCATGTGCACACACGCCGTCCGACACTTGGACGTGCACGCTTCCTCCCCATGCAAGCAGTGCAGGTGTCACAAGCTCTGATACCTGCTGGCTTTAATATTGACTGCATCTAACTTCTGTAATGGGTAGGCAAGCCTAAGGGTACACGCTGCAACCCACTTCCGTCACTCCCAACGTTAAATCATTCCGTGCATGTGGAACGCCAGCCAAGATGAAGGATAGTTCATCCGAAGGGCAACGCTATGGAACTGCACTGGTCTTAACCAGTTGTCCAGTTCACAAGTTCAGTAGCAAACTAGGCGTACTCGTCAGCAAATTTATGACTGCAATATATTCAGATTGTATTCTAAACCTTACAGAAACACCTGACTAATTTCAACCCCTCAGATAAACCTGATCTAATTCACACCCCCTTACAGAAACCTGTGATTCAGGGCAACCACCCTTACAGGAACACCTGATCTAATTCCACACCCCTTACAGAAACACTGATCTAATTCACACCCCCCTTACAGAAACACTGATCTAATTCCACACCCCCCTTACAGATGACACTGATCTAATTCACAGGGGGCCCTAAGAAAACTGATTAATTCACACCCCCCATTACAGGATACACTGATCTAATTCACACCCCCTTACAGAATCACCTGATTAGTCACACCCCCCTTACAGAACACCTGATCTAATTCAACCCATTCGAAACCTGACTAATCCCACCCCTTCGAAACACCTGATCTAATTCCACACCCCTTACGAAAACTGATCTAATTCCACACCCCTTCAGAAACACCTGATTAATCCTACACTCCCCCTTCAGAACACTGATCTAGTCACCCCTCAGAAACACCTGATTAATCCACACCCCCTTCAGAAACACTGATTAATTCCACACCCCTTACGATAACACCTGTTCTAATTCACCCCCCCTTACAGAAACACCTGATCCCCTTAGAAACACCTGATCTATTCCACCCCCTCAGAACACCTCTGATCTAATTCACACCCCCTTACAGAAACACCTGATCTAATTCCACACCCCCCTTACAGAAACACCTGATCTAATTCCACACCCCCCTTACAGAAACACTGATCTAATTCCACACCCCCTCAGAAACACTGATCTAATTGCACACCCCCCTTACAGAAACACCTGATCTAATTCCACACCCCCCTCAGAAACACTGATCTAATTCCACACCCCCTTACAGAAACACCTGATCTAATTGCACACCCCCTCAGCTCCTCTAACGAAGATGACACTGACTCGCTCCTGGAGGGAGCTGACGGTAAACCCTCCGGTAAAGTATCTCACAATGCGATAGAGAAGAGGAGAAGAGACAAGATGAACATGTACATTGACGAGCTAGCAGCTATGGTACCCATGTGCTCCGTTGTTTCAAGGTTAGTTAAATAAGGGGATTTAGGGGCAATATACATGCTGGTTACCATGGTTACATGCTGAATTGCTGGATATATTGTCCTTTCTAGTAGTCAGGGTAAGTTGTGAGCTTGAGTCGTGCAGATAAAGAAATTCGCTTAATTTAATGCGCATGGCTCACACGACTTAAAATACACTGTGCACGCTGCACTGTGCACTGTGCACACCAATACTGTGCACGCTGCACTGTGCACTGTGCACACCAATACTGTGCACACTGCACTGTGCACGGTGCACACCAATACTGTGCACACTGCACTGTGCACGGTGCACACCAATACTGTGCACACTGCACTGTGCACTGTGCACACCAATACTGTGCACGCTGCAATGTGCACACCAATACTGTGCACACTGCACTGTGCACAGTGCACACCAATACTGTGCACGCTGCACTGTGCACAGTGCACACCAATACTGTGCACACTGCACAGTGCACAGTGCACACCAATACTGTGCACGCTGCACTGTGCACGCCAATTATACGGTAAGGAACATTTTTCTAGTAACCACGATGAACCAGATACCAATGTGGGATTGACCAAGGCAGGAATGTTGTCTTCCTCTTCTCCGAATCAGTTAGTCTAAATTGAAGATTTTAAAGTTCAAACATTAAAATTTCTGCCAAAATTGATCTGACAAAATACATAAATTCGGAGATTATTTTAGGGCCAAATAATTGCACAGCGCATAGTATGAAACTTGAAGTTGAACTTGCCATTTGAACTTTGTTTCATTTGTTCTATAATTTGCTCCTTGACATCAAGTTGAGCACTGTAGTGCAGATAAAGGAGATAAATAAGATATCACCATATTACATAACTTTATATGCACGACTGGAGTAACACTGGTTAGAAATTTTAATTTAATTCATTAACTAATAGCTCAATAATCAATAATTAGTCCAATTTAAACTAAATGGGTTGGTGACCACTCGTTACTATGGTAACTAGCACTCGTTCCTTCAGACGACCGGACAAGCTGACCATTCTGAAGATGGCTGTGAGACACCTCAAAGCGCTGAGATATGCTAATGGGGGAGGGCACAAGAACCAATTGAGACCTACCTTTCTTACTGTAAGTTATTTATATTATTATATACATATATATACATATATTATTACTACATTTCTCACTGTAAGTTATTTTGTTCCAGTTCATTAGGGTCATTATTAATTGGGGAAATTGATATAATATATTAATTGGATATAAAATAATATAATATTAATATTATATATCATCTCTTTCGGGTGATTTCTTCTGAAACAAAATTATTTTTTATAACTATCTTTTCAAAACTTTGAGCAACTATTTCACTCAAAGAACTCATAAGCTTCTGTATAATACATCTAGAAAGAGTAATCAGAGATTGTATTTACTGTTTCTATCGTTGTAATAATGAAGCCAACAAACGTCAGCTAAAACCCACGTGTTACTTTTCAACGTGCGTGGTACTTAAATACGCGTTACTTTTATTTGTCGAGCTGGTAAAATTCGGCGTATTATCAAAGTTATTGTGCATTGTAATTTTACCGACTCCAACCTGGCGAAGAGCTACAGATTTACAATGAGTTGCATGAGTTGAGAGAGTGAGAGAGAGAGAGAGAGAGAGGGAGAAAGAGAGAGAGAGAGAGAGAGAGAGAGAGAGAGAGAGAGAGGGAGAAAGAGAGAGAGAGAGAGAGAGAGAGAGAGAGAGAGAGAGAGAGAGAGAGAGAGAGAGAGAGAGAGAGAGAGAGAGAGAGAGAGAGAGAGAGAGAGAGAGAGAGAGAGAGAGAGAGAGAGAGAGAGAGAGAGAGAGAGAGAGAGAGAGAGAGAGAGAGAGAGAGGGAGAAAGAGAGAGAGAGAGAGAGAGAGAGAGAGAGAGAGAGAGAGAGAGAGAGGGGGAGAGAGAGAGAGAGAGAGAGAGAGAGAGAGAGAGAGAGAGAGAGAGAGAGAGAGAGAGAGAGAGAGAGAGAGAGAGAGAGAGAGAGAGAGAGAGAGAGAGAGAGAGAGAGAGAAAGGAGAGAGGGAGGGAGAGCATCTGACTTAGTTCAGCTGTATGTACAGTGACTTTTGGCCCACCCTGTAGTTCAGCTGTATGTACGCGTCTGGTATTCTGATTAGCTGCCAGAATGTATGCATATTTGTAATAAGTGGCATAAGTTAAATTTATGAAGGAGTAAGTGGCATACACTGTGGAGAGTGTTGATGTAAATTTGTAATTATATGTGCTGTGTATTATATATGTAGATGTATGATTTTACAATCTCTTCTGAGATGCAAATTGCAAGCTTTGGATATTTTACAAGTATCTATATCTTGTAATCCTATGAAATCTTGCAATCCGGAAATAACAAGCTACATTTTATAACGCCTCTACCTGGTACTGTAAAACCATTTACCACGCTTAAATTTACCACGCCCAAATTTACCGCGAACTTTGGAACTTTGAAAGGTAATCCATGAACTATTAGTTATTCTGCTACTCCCTTCCTATTAGTAACTCCCTGGTAACACTTGGTAACACCTGGTAACACCTCCAGTAACACCTGGTAACACCTGGTAACACTCAGGATGAAGAACTGAAGCACCTTATTCTAGAGGCTGAGGACGGGTTCTTGTTTATAGTTAGCTGTGAGAATCAGAGAATATTGTACGCAAGCAACAGTGTTAGTCACGTTCTCAACCACAACTAGGTTAGTTTATTTTGTTCGTTACTTTTGTTTGTTACTTTTGTCCCCTTGGCTATTTTGTTGTTATCTTGCAATTTTCACCATAGAAAAATTGTTTAATTCACAAACTGATCTACTAATTACTAATTACTAAATTAAGTACCTATAACCCAATTAACAAACTAATTCCCATCAGGAGGACCTATGCGAGCTAGGGTTCCTGGATATCATACACCCGTGTGACCAAGAGTTGGTGAAGGAGCAGCTGCTGGTCACTGACTGTGACCACACTGCGGGGGAGAAGAAGAGTACTGCTGCAGACTTCAACATGGTCAGTGTGGGTACTGGATATTCCACGTGATATGTGATATAGATAGTGACGTCATAACTTATAGTTAGCGGTATGATGACGTCATGGTGACGTCATAACTTATAGTTAGCGGTATAATGACGTCATAGTGACGTCATAACTTATAGTTAGCGGTATGATGACGTCATGGTTCATGGGAAATAGTTGCGCTTAGAGTGCTAGGATTTATAATTCCTCATTGTGGCAAACATTTTATGATTTGTTTTGTAATCAGCGGAGAAATGTTAAAGTGAATGGTATTGTGATTTGTTTTGCAATCAGCGGAGAAATGTTAAAGTGAATGGTATTGTGATTTGTTTTGCAATCAGCGGAGAAATGTTAAAGTGAATGGTATTGTCCCTAGTTCTGGTTATACCGTCATTGTTTTATAAGGTTTTGATATTCTACACTACTAGTGTACTACTAAACTATACATAATGATAGTTGACAGGGATATCCCTATATGTTGACAGCTTCACCTGTAGTAGTAGTAGTAGTAGTAGTAGTTCACCTGTCATGCCACCAACGTATAAACTGCCACAAACTGCCACGTAATAAATAGCGATTACAGTGAGCAATCCTCTGAAATTACGGTCCGATCGATATTTATGCCGTTTGTATTTCTTCTTCTCTTGATAAATTCAGTACTAGGTGAACCTTTTTTGGTAAAAATTAATGCAAGTGTCACACACGATAGATATAGGGAACCCAGAATTTAGTATTTGCGTCACGTCCCGTTTTTATAGCGTACTGCCCCCGTACCAGCGTTATCACAGACTATTAGTTCTGGGTATTATATATTATTATATTATATCGAGAGTTTCTGGACATCTCTGTTTGAGGATGTTTGGGATTAAATAAATAGTTCTAATGATTTCACAATATCTACCAAATATTGTTAGTAATTAATAATCAATTAATTTATAGTAACTAGTCGATAATCAATAACACATTTTCTCTATCAGATTTCAGGGTCTCGTCGTTCTTTCTTCTGCCGTATGAGGCACGGTAAACGAGGTCCTGACGGTCAAACAATTGAAGATAAGAAGAAGAACGCGACAGCTTACACAATAGTTCACGTGACTGGGTTAGTACTGAGTATGGGGTACCCCCCCCCCCCCCCCCCCCCCCCCGCACACAATAGTGCACGTGACTGGGTTAGTAGGGGGTTTCTGGGGTTATTTTAATATTTAATGGTAATCAGAACTAACTTAATAACAAATCATGATAACGAACAAGTGAGTATCCCAGCTAATTGTTCTAAAAAATCGCAGCTATCTGAAGAACTGGGATGTTGATACTTTCTCCATGTCCGAGGATCTCATCAAATATAGGTTAGACCGACTTTTGGCGGCTTTTACTCAAACTTTCAGAAAATCAATGAATTGCAGATTGATTTACCGAATTATATGAGCCAATAAATTAAGTTATTGAATTGTTTCAATTTTGACTAACCTATTTCCACTTCAGTGGTGATGAGTCGGAAGAGGAGCTGGGAGATTTTACCTGTTTGGTTGCTGTGGGGCGGGTTCTACAAGTCCCTGTCAAAAGCTTGAAACAACCGAACGTTTTTAATTGGAGGTGATTATTAGTAGATTGTTTCACGGAGATGTTTTATAAATTTGTATAATTAATCGTTAATTAATCGTTAATTACAAGTTGTTAGCGGGTTTGTTCTCACAGAAAAAGAAATCATGCGTGAGATAATAATTTAAAAATTATTTGATTATCTGAAATACCAGCCAAAGTATCAAAGTATGTAAGTATAATAATATAAGCTTAAGTAGCTTAAGTGTGTAAAAATTAATAAAGTAATGTTAAAAGGTAGCCCAGCTGAAGCAACAGCTAGTAAACCGCTCTTAATTTACTGAATCCATATAATTTAATTCAGTGATACATACTGTGTGTCAGGTTGCGTATCAAATACATTTTGTATCACTTAATTAATAAATTACTGTAAGAAATTTCTTAACATAACTTCGTGTCCGAGTATTCATCAGTGGCTTAGTATTATTGCGATTAGTTTGAAATACATTGCACAAACAGTCCATAAATAATGCACAAACAGTCCATAAATAATGCACAAACAGTCCATAAATAATGCATAAATATTGCAAAAAGAGCGCATAACTGATTCATAAATTATGCTCAAACGTAGAGCCAAGTTGTGACTGTAGAAATTTAAACACAAAATTTGGCAAGTATTACAAAACATGTTGACCGGGTTTTGGAAACTGTTTTTAAGTTGTTACCCTCATTAGCTTTTAAATACTTAATAGTAATACAGCATAACATTAACTCTTGCCGTACAAAGATTACTATTGTGGGATAGATATAACATCAATTACAAACTTTGACAGGAATACAATTAACATAATATGTTATTAATGTTATGTATAATCATATTATGCAAATACCGCTCCGGCAGTAAAACTACAGAGTGTAAGGTTATCCGTTCTCTTTGCTTTGATGTGCAAATTGAAATTATACAGCTAATCCTGTATTATACAAGCTTGTACAAAAGTAACTGTAGAAACCACAGCAATCAGAGGAGTAATATTTCTAAACTTATTGTAGATTAGCTTACTTGTTGGGACAATAGTACCTCAAGGGCCAAAGCAATAAAATATGAATACACTTAATCAACACAAATTAAGTTAAACTTTGTCCGAGGTTTGCTCCATTAAAATAAGTTTTAAAATATCCCATAACAGCATGCTTTCTCCCCCCAGGTTGACGATGGATGACAAGTTTCTGTTTGTAGATCCCCGAACTACCGCCGTATTGGAGTACTTGCCACACGAACTGATCGGAACTAGTATCTACAAGTTCTACCACCCTAGTGACCTGTCTAAACTGACTGATGTGAGTAATGCTGTCATTAGTTAATTAGGTAATTAGTTGGTGGTCGTGATGGTGTGTTTTAACTGAAACTACAAGGAAATATTATTACCTTACTCGGGAATATTATGACTGGGATAAAGTGGTGGGTTTTGGAAAATTCCGCCATATTTTTCCCGGTCATTAATTTTCCCAGTCATAAATTAACCCGCTATAATGTTCCCGAGTAAGGTAAACTAATAGTAATACATTTTGATGCTTGGTGGGTTTTGGAAAATTCCGCCATATTTTTCCCGGTCATTAATTTTCGGCTACCGGACAACTGAACCCAATTTGGACTTTTCCTAAACAGAGTAGCTTGGGAAATTAATTATAAACCCAATCAGTCTACCTAATTAACTTTGAAACGACAACTGAACCCAATCGTCACTAGAAATCACTAACAGTTTAACAGGTTTCCAAATACCGTTCTAGTTTAGCTGCTGCCTGGTTTCTAGTGCTATAATTTCGGTCTGTTGAGGTTGGTGCTTCGGAGTTGTTGGCAGATCCGGACTTATCTGCTCGTGATCGTTGGACAATACTTGCGAGGGATTCTAGTTTAGGTAGTACACGTTGATTTCGGGTGGGCATGTAGATAAGGCTTCGGTGAGGAGGTTTTGTGTTGCTGAGAGGTGTTGGTCGGCAGCTTTCCGCTTCAATTCTGCTCTGAACTCTGCTTTCTCAGCTATAACTAAGTTGTCATGGTCGTGGGAATGAGGTTTGGCACCGCTGGCCAAGGACTGATCTCCATGGTCAAGGAATACATGAGCAGGACATTTCTTGACTCTGTACTTCTGGCATCTCCAAGTAGAGGTAGTAGGGATATCTCGATCCTTTCTCCGGGCTCCTCTTTGTCCGCTGATGTACTTGCCGAAGACAACCATGATTCGATACTGTGACCACCATCTCTCTTCCTTATGTATTAATCCGATCTGTATAACAAGCGTACTAATAGATGACAAGGTCTCAGGTGCCTTTCGATCGTGAGATCTGATCTAACAAGCTCACGTGTTCACGAAGCGTGCCGAAAAGGATACGATCCACTGCTCCTCAAGCATCGAGATCCGACCCAGGGCTCGAGATCTGAACCATGGCAGGCCCTCCCAAAGCATCAGGAGTCACGAGATCCGAGTCAAGTAACCTGAGCCAAGTATCCAGCGTGCTAATGGTGCGTTCCATCAGCTTTGGAAGACATGAAAAAGTGGAACTATAAGTACGCCCATCAAGATCTGTATCTACAAGGCTAACTTTCAAAGCTAGACGGACACGTTGTAAGAATGCCAGAGACACAGTTTCCCAATTTTTTACTGGATTAGAAACCAAACTATGGGAAGAGACTGAGAGGACGACTCCGTAAAGGCTGGATGGCCTGTGTTCTCGAGGATGCGGCTGACAGGTGTCGATAACATCAGCAGAGACGCAGTAAAACAGTTAGCTCTAAAACGAGTGGAACACCGTAGAAGAGATGTGTGTGATGCAGGCCACTCCAACGACTAGGAGGAGACCTCTTCAATCTTCATGTAGCATGTATGTATTAATATTTTACCGGGGTAAGCACACTAGGGCTCCAATGCTCTAAATTACAGTGGTCATGATCTATCCTATAGTGATAATGACCACAGTCCCCTGCGAAGAAGGAGAACCTGAAAATCCGATCGTTGGGTTCAGTTGTCGTTTTTCCTTGGGTTTAGTTGTCGTATTTCCAATTTGGGTGCAGTTGTGATATGACCTGGGTTCAGTTGTCGTTTTGGGATTTAAGCTGATTGGTCACCCAATTAAGCTGATTGGGTGCCTGTTAACTGCGTGGGAACTAGGTTCAATTGGGTTCAGTTGTCTGCCACCCTAATTTTCCCAGTCATAAATTAACCCGCTATAATATTCCCGAGTAAGGTATTAGACTTTCAAAAATCATTATTTGAGATTTTTGTTATATCTTTTAGAACGTTGTGAGAAATGGACATGCTGGAATAATCATATGATTTGAAAATAGTGCTCTGCCAGGACACAATCGTCGGGACAAAAATATTATATGTATCCTAAATGAAACACAAGGAAATTATTTTGTGCATAGAATTTATCCTCCAATGTACAATTATTCTGTACCTAAAACGTAATGAACCTTTACGGTATCTGACATTAATATTTGCGCAAGTTCCTTCTGGTAAAGTCGGAACTTCTTTCAAGTTTTAACTTCATTAGTGTGACTAATTGATTGCTAAATTTTGTAGTGGCCTATGACGTGTTGCGTGTTTTTAAAAGTTAAATTAAATAACCTTTTAAACAAACGTGGGATATCGACCAATTTATCTTGATTCAGTTTTAGAACAAAGATAAACATCTAAACAAATTCCATGTAACCTAAGTGAAACACAAGAAAATATTCTTTTAATACATGTATGTATCGTTCTTCAATGAACAATTCTCACAAGTGTTGAACAATTCTTACAAGTGTTGTTTACAATCTTTACCAAGTCCCCTCTGTTGGGACTTTTCAACACCAGGAAAGAAAACCATTATATAATAGTAGGGTGATCTATATAATAGTAGGGTGTTGCCTTGTCCCAGCTATTTGTAGCCTTGCTTGACGTCTTATTTTACGGTTTAATTAGTGGAATTGAAACCATTACAGATCGTCTGCTCTTAACTTGATGGTAAACTAACCGTGATCTGACTCCAAGCTTTAGTAGTAGGTTAATTTTAAAGTAGAACTTATCAAATCAGTGTGGATGTTAACACTGGGTGTATAGTAACCATGGTAACTATGGTAACTAGTAGTGTAACCATGGTAACAAGTGTTTTTGAAAGTAAAATTAAATAACCTTAAACGTGGGATCTCGACCAATTTATCTTGATTCAGTTTTAAACATCAAAACAAATTCCATGTAACCTAAGTGAAACACAAGAAAGTTTTCTTTTAATGTGTATGTATCGTTCTTCGATGGACACTCTAAACTTGAACAATTCTTAAAACACACAAATATTGTTTTAAAATCTTTACCCAAGTCCCATCAATTGTATTGGGACTTTTCGACACTAGGAAAGAAGACCATATATTAGGTAGGGTGTTGCCTTGCCCCAGCTATTTGTAGCCTTGCTTGACGTCTTATTTTACGGTTTCATAATTAGTGGAATTTAAACCATTACAGATCGTCTGCTCTTAACTTGATGGTAAACTAACCGTGATCTGACTCCAAGCTTTAGTAGTAGATTAATTTTAAAGTAGAACTTATCAATTCAGTGTGGATTTTAACACTGGGTGTATAGTAACCATGGTAACTATGGTAACTAGTAGTGTAACCATGGTAACACTACTAGTTACCATAGTAATTCAGCACGTGGATGTTAACACTGGGTGTATAGTAACCATGGTAACACTACTAGTTACCATAGTAATTCAGTGTGGATGTTAACACTGGGTGTATAGTAACCATGGTAACTATGGTAACTAGTAGTGTAACCATGGTAACAAGTGTATTTCAGGCTCACCAGAAAGTAAAGTCAGGAGACTGTAAAGTAATGTACAGGTTCAGAACCAAATCAGGGAGATGGGTGTGGCTTCATGGCAGTTTCCAGGTACACAGAGTGTTATCTAAATTATTATTAGTTTATGTTTAGGCAACACGTTTTGTATCTATATTATACGAGTGTGAAATTATGTGCATCTAATATAATATTTTCAGAACAAATTAATACACTTTTAGTTCGTTCTCATAATACGGTTCTTACTTTTCCCAGGGATTCAACAATCCATTCTCTGGTCAACTCCAGTACATCATCTGCAACAATATCGCTGTGCTGGATAATAACGAGCTTGATGAAAAAGGTGGGTGTTTTTCCTGTTTATTTATCATTACAGTAACCACAGTGACTGCTGCATATTAGTTTTCATAATAAATCCGACTGTTCGATATTCGGTGATGTTATATTATTGCTAATATCACTCCTGCACATTTTAGGTCGCACTGAGGCGGGTTTGAGCAAGGTGGAACTGAGCAAACCAAAGTTGAGTACAGACATTGGTCACATGATAACTTCGTCACAGATAGTACAGGTGAGTTTACTAGGTCACGTGATCACTAACTTGGTCACATGGTCACTGGTCACTAACTTAGTCACTTACTCAAGCATTGCAGCATTACCAAGGCGACTGTAAACAAAATACTTATTGTCAAAATCTTTATTTTTCACTTTAGTTCAAGTTACATTAATATAATATATTTAAATCATATGATATTGTTATTATCTTAACAGTTACTATTGTAACTTAAGATTTTAAATTCGTATTCCTTACTTGGTCACGCGATCACTCCATCAAACACGTGTTGTAAACCATAGAGCACATTTTCAAGTGTTTCCAAAATTCCACATTATGTAATTGTAAATTGTAAGATAAGTAAACTTTTGTAAACAATGTAAAATTTAAGGTATTTAAACTATGTTAAACTGAATAAAAAGTAAAATATGTAAATTATGTAAAATGTAAGGTATTTAAACTATGTTAAACTAAATAAAAAGTAAAGCGTGTAAACTATGTAAAATGTAAGGTATTTAAACTATGTTAAACTAAATAAAAAGTAAAGCGTGTAAATTATGTAAATTGTAAGGTATTTAAACTATGTTAAACTAAATAAAAAGTAAAGCGTGTAAATTATGTAAAATGTAAGGTATTTAAACTATGTTAAACTAAATAAAAAGCGTGTAAACTATGTAAAGCTAAACTTCCTCTCTCCACCAGCACACAACCCAAGCAGACCCAACCCAACAACAAGCTCCCCAACACGGCCTGCCCCAACCTATGGACAGTTCCCGCGCCTCTCATCCCCAGAGTATTCTCGACAACATTCCAGACTCTCAGACCCTCCACCCAGGCATGGCTGACATTAACAGACCCACTAATATTGCTGTTGTTACTCCTAATGTTGAACTTTGCAGCTCCGGGTTAGTGACATTTGTTTATTTTTTATGATGAAATTGTATATTATATTATTATATTGTTATAAAAACTAGCATTATTATTGTTTTTTTAATGACTGATGAATCGTCTGTCTACCTACGTTGGCTCATACCAACTATCAGTTTCTTATATTTATATTTCTTATATTTGTTTATAAACATTGAATTATCATGTTAACACGGATGATTTAATACGTGGTTTAACACGTGATATAACACGTGATCTAACACGTGACTTCACTCAGAAGATTACAGACAAAGCTACACCTGGACCCCATAACCCGGATGGAAGTAGATACTCCCTTCACAATCCCACCCCAGCATTCCCAACCTCAGCAACTCTCCCAGCCTCAACCACAACACTTACAAGTTCAGCCACCCCAACAACAACACTCTCAGCATTCTCAGCAGATACAGCAACAACAGCAGCAGGTGCAGCAGCCTCAGGTGCAGCAGCAACAGCAGCAGCCGCAGCAATCACAACAGAATAGGTAAGTTTGGTGTTTCAACCTGAGGAAAAGGTCAAATAATCAAAATGTTGAACTTTGGTTCGTAATATTTGCTCTGACGTTGATTTTATGACGTCATCAATGTTGTGACGTCATCACCCACCAGGTTCCGAACCCAGCAGACAGTTCAACACCACCAGTACAACATACAACAGATACAACAAGACCCGTATACCTCCGATATGCAGGGTATGCCAAATATGCGATATTTCCAGTAATGTATAGTATTAGAACTATGTATAGTACGGGTGTATGCCTCCCATAAAAAAGCGCCTCCCAGAATGTATATGTTTACTTTTTGATTTCTGATTTCTGCATCAAATACTTATTGCTTCTGATTATCACTTCATATTACTCGAAAATGTTCATTACGTTCTTCCCGAAAGGTTTAAAAAGTGTAATTCATTACATGTGCGCACAATTCAACCCAAGATAGTGTCTCCATAAAATATATTGTGTACAAGATAGTGTCTCCAATATATTGTGTACAAGATAGTGTCTCCAATATATTGTGTACAAGATAGTGTCTCCAATATATTGTGTACAAGATAGTGTCTCCATAATATATATTGTGTACAAGATAGTGTCTCCATAAAATATATTGTGTACAAGATAGTGTCTCCATAAAATATATTGTGTACAAGATAGTGTCTCCAATATATTGTGTACAAGATAGTGTCTCCAATATATTGTGTACAAGATAGTGTCTCCAATATATTGTGTACAAGATAGTGTCTCCAATATATTGTGTACAAGATAGTGTCTCCAATATATTGTGTACAAGATAGTGTCTCCAATATATTGTGTACAAGATAGTGTCTCCAATATATTGTGTACAAGATAGTGTCTCCAATATATTGTGTACAAGATAGTGTCTCCAATATATTGTGTACTAGATAGTGTCTCCAATATATTGTGTACAAGATAGTGTCTCCAATATATTGTGTACAAGATAGTGTCTCCAATATATTGTGTACTAGATAGTGTCCCCAATATATTGTGTACAAGATAGTGTCTCCAATATATTGTGTACAAGATAGTGTCTCCAATATATTGTGTACAAGATAGTGTCTCCAAATATATTGTGTACAAGATAGTGTCTCCAATATATTGTGTACAAGATAGTGTCTCCAATATATTGTGTACAAGATAGTGTCTACAATATATTGTGTACAAGATAGTGTCTCCAATATATTGTGTACAAGATAGTGTCTCCAATATATGTGTACAAGATAGTGTCTCCAATATATTGTGTACAAGATAGTGTCTCCAAATATATTGTGTACAAGATAGTGTCTCCAATATATTGTGTACAAGATAGTGTCTCCAATATATTGTGTACAAGATAGTGTCTCCAATATATTGTGTACTAGATAGTGTCTCCAATATATTGTGTACAAGATAGTGTCTCCAATATATTGTGTACAAGATAGTGTCTCCAATATATTGTGTACAAGATAGTGTCTCCAATATATTGTGTACAAGATAGTGTCTCCAATATATTGTGTACAAGATAGTGTCTCCAATATATTGTGTACAAGATAGTGTCTCCAATATATTGTGTACAAGATAGTGTCTCCAATATATTGTGTACAAGATAGTGTCTCCAATATATTGTGTACAAGATAGTGTCTCCAATATATTGTGTACAAGATAGTGTCTCCAATATATTGTGTACAAGATAGTGTCTCCAATATATTGTGTACAAGATAGTGTCTCCAATATATTGTGTACAAGATAGTGTCTCCAATATATTGTGTACAAGATAGTGTCTCCAATATATTGTGTACAAGATAGTGTCTCCAATATATTGTGTACAAGATAGTGTCTCCAATATATTGTGTACAAGATAGTGTCTTCATAAAATATATTGTGTACAAGATAGTGTCTCCAATATATTGTGTACAAGATAGTGTCTCCATAAAATATATTGTGTACAAGATAGTGTCTCCAATATATTGTGTACAAGATAGTGTCTCCAATATATTGTGTACAAGATAGTGTCTCCAATATATTGTGTACAAGATAGTGTCTCCAATATATTGCTTACAAGATAGTGTCTCCAATATATTGTGTACAAGATAGTGTCTCCAATATATTGTGTACAAGATAGTGTCTCCAATATATTGTGTACAAGATAGTGTCTCCAATATATTGTGTACAAGATAGTGTCTCCAATATATTGTGTACGAGATAGTGTCTCCAATATATTGTGTACGAGATAGTGTCTCCAATATATTGTGTACAAGATAGTGTCTCCAATATATTGTGTACAAGATAGTGTCTCCAATATATTGTGTACAAGATAGTGTCTTCATAAAATATATTGTGTACAAGATAGTGTCTCCAATATATTGTGTACAAGATAGTGTCTCCATAAAATATATTGTGTACAAGATAGTGTCTCCAATATATTGTGTACAAGATAGTGTCTCCATAAAATATATTGTGTACAAGATAGTGTCTCCAATATATTGTGTACAAGATAGTGTCTCCATAAAATATATGGTGTACAAGATAGATTTATTAAATTACTTTTCAACACTCGCGACTGTAAGCTGTTAAATGTGTCAATTCCTTAATTGGCGAGGAAAGGAAACTCCGTTTTTGACACGATGTAGCGGTTCTATCGCATCTTATTGGCTGGATGGAGTGTTAGCTGTGAAATTGTGTGGAAGCGAGGGTCTCCCTTTTAAGCTGTTGAAACGTCAATTAAATTTCATTTTTCAGCTAGTTTAGCCAACAATAAACAAATTTGTAATTTTAACTTACCAAGGGAATGGGGTAACCGCCCCGATTTTCAACGAACTCCATACAAAAATTCTCGGAGAAGCATTTTATTATGCTATGTGAACTTCATAGGCTTCACTTTCAGGCACCAAGGAGCTCATTAATAAGTCTCACGGACCTTCCAATTTAAACTCATATCATTTAAACCACGGCACTGACGATAAAAGCCTATTTCCTAACCATAACATTCCTTTCAGGACAATTCAACCTTGTCCAAGGAATGCAACAGCAGCCCTACTCCTCCGCTCAACATCTCAACATTGCTGAGATTGGAACTCTAAAGACGGAGACTAAAAGTAGAATGCTAACTCCAACTAGTTCCTCCCACAATTCCCTTGTTCCTGGCCCTGGTCCGATATTTTGCAGTATATTTCCCGCATTTTACACATTTTTGTTCATTTTTTGACGAATTGCCCGAATAAAATTCCTGTTGAAGTTAGTTATTAACTTATTCTCTTAACAGGCGTGGCTGGAATGTTGAACTTGCAGCATCAGCAAACTCAACAACAGCAACAGCAGCAGCAGCCTCAACAACAACAACAACAACAACAACAGCAGCAACAACAGCAACAACAGCAGCAGCAACAACAACAACAACAACAGCAACAGCAACAGCAACAGCCCCAACAACAGCAACAGCTCAGCAACTCTCAGCAATACAACCCCCAAACACCCCAACAAGTAAAACAACTCGCATATCTTCCTCAGGTGGGTGTAATATGCCCATCATTTAAATAGACTTGACTACTAGTGGGAGCTATGTTTGTTTTGACACGTGACAGTTATTACCCGATGCTGATTGGCTAATCGCCGTCATGTGTCAGGAGCAATAAAACTTACTACCTCCACACTGTAGTAAGTTGTATTATATATGCTATTATTTAACGCTTTAAATCAAAGATAAGAAAATACTGTGTAGAGTATTTTCTTCTTCTTGATTAAGAGTGCTTGTAATTTTGAACCAAATTAATTATTTATCAATTTATTAAAGGACTCATTTCAGCTACCGAACGTGCACAACATCCGCACGAAGGAGCAATACGAACAAGCGAGGCTGTACAACGAACGAGAACGCCAACTACTACAGGAATATGAGCAGTATTTGAAGAAAACGAAGTGGGATAATTGAGAGTTAATCACTTAATTGAGTGACAATTAGTGAGATTATGATTGCTCTCTGTTGGTTGTTGCTGTCACATTACAAATTTCCGCTCTGACTGTCAAGATGATTAAAAGGACCCAATTAAGGACAATCGGTAAATACCAAAATCAGCCTCTCTGTTACCTTACAAGACATATTTATAACGTACGAAATGTGGCGGTTTTCCGAAAATTTCGCCATATTTTCGGACCGCCAAAATTTCGGTCGTCGTAATAGAATCCGTCGCATTATCTTTTAGCTTATTTCAATGACTGTGCCTTCACTGCTTTATTTTTTTCTAAAAAGTAATATCAAGTAAAATAAATAAATAAATTCTGGCATCTTGGGACAAATTATCACCACACCAATGACGAATTGAATGTCAAGCAATACAGTTTAAATTTGCATTAAAATACATGTATGTGCTAACATGAAAGTCTTACAGTCTTAATACAGACTAAGTTTGAACATGATTTTACCGAATTTCAGAAATTTCCTTACTGCTTACTGTCACAAAAAATGATGAAAAATACCCTTATTTTCTGTGACGTCCGAAATTTGACGGTTTTTGTTCAATTTCGCCATATTTTCGGACCGCCAAAATTTCGGTCGTCGCAAATTAGGCCGCCATAAATATGTCTTGTAAGGTATACACATATTTTAGGCAATATTGCGATGACCTGTGTTTGATTTACTGAAACATTCTTACAGACTTAAATCTTACAGCATAGTTTACTGAAAAGTACATGGACCGACTGGAAATATGTACTTACAAATCTATTATGTTACATACTGCCACTAGTAATTATATCATTATGTAATATAATCTCAATAGTTCATAATCATCGCACACTTATAACACTACTAATACTTATAACACAGATTAATTTTGCTGCCTATATTTATAAAGGAATACGCATGGTAACTTTACTAAGTGGACCAGAAGTGACTTAACATATTACAGTAAATTCTGGTCTAACCCTGCTCCCATATGTAATATGTATGCATGGTCTACATATGGCATTGCTTGGAATACCATTTAAATTTTAGTTGTGATTTTCAAGATAATTTTAAAACTGTTTTTTGTGGCTGTTTCTGTCTCTTGCCTTGTTATTTTTGTACAAGCTTGTTGTCCAAGCGTTCTGACGATACTGTAACACTACTGTAACACTACTGTAACAGGGTAACACCTTGTAACACTACTGTAACACTACTGTAACAGAGTAACACCCTGTAACACTACTGTAACACTACTGTAACAGGGTAGCACCCTGTAACACTACTGTAACACTATAACGAAAAAATGCTTTAAGAAAGTTCACTTGCGTGTCAAATGTCAAGTTGACCGACTTTAAGTTTAAAACCTCGGATACCACTCTCAAGGACGTTGTGTAAACTTAATTACATTACAATGAATGTATTACATTGCAATGAGAAGACACGTGTGTGTGACCACGTGACTATGAGAAGACACGTGTGTGACCACGTGACTATGAGAAGACACGTGTGTGACCACGTGACTATGAGAAGACACGTGTGTGACCACGTGACTATGAGAAGACACGTGTGTGACCACGTGACTATGAGAAGACACGTGTGTGACCACGTGACTATGAGAAGACACGTGTGTGACCACGTGACTATGAGAAGACACGTGTGTGACCACGTGACTATGAGAAGACACGTGTGTGACCACGTGACTATGAGAAGACACGTGTGTGACCACGTGACTATGAGAAGACACGTGTGTGACCACGTGACTATGAGAAGACACGTGTGTGACCACGTGAATATGAGAAGACACGTGTGTGACCACGTGACTATGAGAAGACACGTGTGTGACCACGTGACTATGAGAAGACACGTGTGTGACCACGTGACTATGAGAAGACACGTGTGTGACCACGTGACTATGAGAAGACACGTGTGTGAACACGTGACTATGAGAAGACACGTGTGTGACCACGTGACTATGAGAAGACACGTGTGTGACCACGTGACTATGAGAAGACACGTGTGTGACCACGTGACTATGAGAAGACACGTGTGTGACCACGTGACTATGAGAAGACACGTGTGTGACCACGTGACTATGAGAAGACACGTGTGTGACCACGTGACTATGAGAAGACACGTGTGTGACCACGTGACTATGAGAAGACACGTGTGTGACCACGTGACTATGAGAAGACACGTGTGTGACCACGTGACTATTCATTGCAATGTTATTGCGTTGTAATGTTGTTATGTTATTGCTTTGTAATGTAATGTATTGGGGTTTATGCACCTTGTTATTTCTATGTGGGAGACATTACACACAGCTTTCAATTACACAAGCCTAGCTTTATGTTTGGGATGGTCCACATATTATTACGTAAGCCAGAATGGGGGGAAGCTTAGTGTTATTATTATAAAAGTGGATTATGGAATGAAAGGCCGGGAGGGGGTATAAAATTGCAAAATCTAACTACGAAATATGTGAACTATCCCAACATAGGCCAGCTTCAAATAGCTTCATTATACGTAAAACACAGTGTTAAAATATATGGTTTAGATTTGGGGTAGATTCTGTTTTGATACAGGTAAATGAAATATTTTCATACTATTCTGCATACTTAAATGATTCGCAATCTGTAAATGATTCACAGTCAATTATATTACATACTGTAAGACGTGTAGAAAGTGATAGCTATTCGAGAAGAACGATATTATAACGTGTTTTAAACATAGAATGTAAAGAATTTTAAAAGGTTGATAATTTATTGCTACTGTTAGATTTTATCCAAACATGATGAGCACGCGTGTCTCTTTTGGCAGTGCCCAACTGATTTTGTAAAATATTTATAGATTACGATATCGAATGATTGAATCTCAAGAAGGGTTTATTCAACGAGAAGATAATTCTTAATCATATTCTCTCTTATCTCAAATGAATGGCGTAATTTTCAGCTTCCTATTTTCAGCTTCCTATTCTGGCAAGCAGCCAGCTTAAGTTACGCTAATCGCTCAGATTGGTCATGTTTCGGTGAAATTAATGTATTTTTAAGGATTTATTTAAGGAACGGTAATTCTATGTACATTCGAGAGTATTTCTGTATTTAGGTAAATCTTATTGATTGTTCTCTGCATTTACATTCCTTATATATAACTACTTGACAATTAAGCTTTGAAATATGAATAGGTGGTACCTGTAAACCTAACTGTAAACCCTGCTCCAGCTGATTAACATATCCCGGTTTGATGCATGAAGATATTTCTATGTTATGGTTATGTAGCCGATCCTCTTAAACGTTTTAATTTCACTGAAACTGCTGTTTGCCATTTGCATTCTGCGATGTACAAATCATAGAAAATCGTGGAAGGATCTTCCTATAAGCTTATTACTAGCAAAATATTTGTGTGAAAAGCTTTATTAATTTCGCGCGACCATGAGCCGCGCAGTACGTACAATATAATATCAGTTATTGGTGACCATAAAATTGTAAATGTATGCAGTATGAGTGGTAATTCAACATCACTAAACTTTATTAAACCTAGTATAATGGTTGATAGAGTGGCACTGAAAAAATGGTGTTCGATAGTCAAAATAGAGTTCAATACAACTGACAACAAAAGTCCGTTGATCTGTAAACTGAAAAACGTTCTTTGCTAATAATATGTGACATGGATACCTCCCGTTTAGTGAATAGAAGGCGATCCCGAGTATTTCCAGTCGGGAATTCCCGACCGGTGAATATTCTCAATTACACGAAAGAAACTTGAGAACAGAAAATGAGCGCCATTTACTGTCGGGATTCCCGGGATTGAATATTTTGATCGCGATTAAATTGACTTAGCTTTAATTATAGGTTTTTAACCTACCAGGACGCGCTCCGAGTTGGACTCGTCGACAGTCCTGATATTTGGAACAAATATTTTACGAGTATCACCCGTTAATCTAGTCAGCATCGATGCAAAGCAAAAATGCAATGATAGTTTGCGCGGCGCGTCAAAGCGGCGAAGTCCTCCAACTTTTAATGCGCCTCGGGTCAATTACATTTTTTTCTGAATGTTATAGTTTAAGGATTTTCACAACAAATCAATTTGTACATAATATTGAATTAGGCCGTGCGCCATCGACCGTAAGACGCGCGCGATGACCATTGAATGGTTTTTTAGCTCGTATTTCGGCCAGCACATTATTTCGGAAACAATCAAAAAGTTATAATACTTCCCATTTGATTCACGATGTCAATCCTTCGCAGCTCGGTGAGGCACAGTGGTGCATCTCGCCGATCTACCGAAGTTGCGAGAAGAATTATTTGATGCGCGGCGCGACCCAGTAGTGCATCGCGCTACAAGTTTAGTAGGTAAGTATGATTGGAAGATTCTGAAAAAATTTCAGCATGATTCATGTTCAGAAACCGAAGATATGACAAAATAATACGACAAAAATCAGTCAAATTACGCGACTTTTACACCTACTTTTGCTTGCAAAAGCCGCGCACCATCAAATATGGCACATAGGCAAAACTCACTGATCATTCCAAAAAGGTATGACAAATTTGATATTGTGAGAATTCTAACAGTCTCTAGAAAACAATGGTACAAAAATGTTGATAATCCGAGCAAGTTTATTTTTATCGTGCACCCCCTAATTGATTATTGCATATTAGGATGTAACAGTTTTAATAAATAACATATAATATAATACACGTTAAAAAGTTAAGTGTCTAGTATTTGTGTTTTTTATTATTAAGTTCGATTGAAATATTTGCTTAAAACACTACTACATGTTGTAAAAAACAAAATATTTACAAAACAAAACGACGGGGACACATTATTATTATTATTAAATCTAAAATAGCTAATAATTTAATAAATTATTAACAGGCCCCTTAACGTGGGCAATAATATACGCTTTATAAATTATATAAACAAATTGAAGTCTATTTTCCAATGTTGTTAAGTGTCTCTTTAGATCTGTTTTGGTCTTTCGTGGGAGTTCCCACATTTGTTGGTTGAGAATGCTCAACATAACATACATGATGCTTGACTGCTTTATTGACCCGGACAGGCACCGGGGGCAGACATCCCAACACCAGTGCGTTGGGACATAGTGTTTGTCTGCTTCAGGACGTGTTAGATCCTAGAGAAGCCGCCATCCCCTCTACTGCTTTAGCTCAGCGGCAGCATAAGCCCTGGTTTCCTGCCACATTGGGGACACAGAAAAGAGAAGGACGATTGAAGTTAATGAGTAATAAAGTAAGATTATTGATTATTGATGATTATAAAGTAAAGTAAAGTATTGGAATCCAGGTTGTATATATATAGGGTATGACAAGATTGTAAAGGTTGTGTAAATTACAGTGCTATGTACTGGGCCGGATTGTTAGAAAAAGAGGGAGAGCAGCTGAACTCATCTCTTATCATCCAATCTAAATATGAATACCTTAATAGTACAACCTTAATACAGGAATGTAATGTAATGAGTTAGTACCCATCCACAAAACTGAATAAAGAAATGATGCAAGTGGATAAGAAAGAAGAGAAGAAGCAGAGACGGAGGGAAAAAGATAGTAAAACAAAAATTTTAGTAAAACAAAAATTTTATTTACCACAAAACAATCAATACATATTTAATATTATTATACATTTACAAATAAATCTAAATTTAAATTCAGCTATATACACAATACACAGCCCGCAGCGCAGACAGCCACACATTGCTAAGAGATTCTCAGGTGCAGATGTAAGCGCCGCGCGCGCGAGGTTTGTTATCTTACAATTACATGTCACGATATATTATTAATTATCAGAGAATTTTAGAAGCAAAATAATAATTGCATATTGGGAAAATTTCGGTCGTTAACGCAGTACAGGGCGTGGACACTGCAATGCTAATAACGGAAAATTTTGAGGCACGAGTTTCATTCAGCTACCCAATTTATATGTGACATGTACTTGTATTAAATTCAGATAAATGTTAGTAACAATCGACGTCAACACTGTGCAACTGTAAACTGCAAAATGTTAACGTCGATTATTATTAAATCACATCTAGCAAGTTACTAATTCTTTGCACTATATATGTTACGTCACTATAGCATATGTCATTCATATTGTAAGTTATATAAGATAAAAATAAACATTTTATAATTGTTTCAATGTTCAACACTGCTAAAAAACAAATACCTACTTGCCCATCGATTAAGCAGTCGCCAAAACAAGGCTCAAAGTTAATTTACCTTCACACCTCGTTTTGGAGACTGAAGGATGTCAATAAATAAATAATGGACAACATTAATACTGAATATGATGGATAATCAGTAATATCAATAAAATCCACAATCACTAATCATGTTTTCGATGGGCAAGCACTCGCAACTGGATGCTGAAACAAACGGCGCAAGTCTTGCACCGTTCATGCAGCATACGTCGCGAGATAAGATGAGCTCCGCTAACTCTGCGATTCTAAAGGATGAATTAGGCTACCCCGACAGAAACACAGGTAACAGGGGGTTGTGGAAGGACACGAACACTGTTCGTTAACTCGTACCCCGGGTACCCCCTATATAGATCTATGTCCCGCCGGAGAGAGCCCACCACCAGTCATATCGAAAGCAGCTTTTAATTCTGCATTATAAATATCGCGTTGTCATAATAAATAATATACATTACCACTACACACTTGTCACTACACACTTTTATGCACAGTACAACTAAAATATTAACAAGAGACAGAAGAGTTTTACATCGGCTCAGCACCGCAAGGACGTTGGCTATACACGTGGTTCATAAATTAGTTTGATTTGGGTACGGTTCGACCGGGAAAGTGGTCGGGATTAGTTCTCATAATGAGTGAACACTGTCGTCAGAAATATTAGAGATAAAGTTAGGAGACAGAAGAAGCTAGCTAGTGAAACACCAGAAGAGAGATCCAGCAGGCTGAAAGACATGGCAGAACGTGAGAGGGCGAGAAGAGCCTGCGAAACACCTGAGGAGAGAGCCAAGAGACTAAGAGCCTTGTCAGAACGAGGGAGAGTTAGAAGAGATGGTGAAACACCTGAGGAGAGAGCCAAGAGACTAAGAGCCTTGTCGAAACAAGAAAGGGCGAGAAGAGCTGGTGAAACACCTGAGGAGAGGGCCAGAAGACTAAGAGCCTTGTCAGAAAGAGGGAGAATCAGAAGGGCTGGTGAAACAACTGAGGAGAGGGCCAGAAGATTACGGGTATATGGCCCCCAGAATATAGGTGGCCCCCAAAATATAGGTCATGTTAGTGGATACAGTTCTAACCAAGATAAGCGATACTAATGGGATCTGTTACTGCTAGGTTGGAGTAAAACATGTAACTAATGTTTCTGGATAAAAATTTTGGACCTACATGAGGTATTTTGGTATATTTGGTCATGACAGCGAAAGATTTAAACGATGTTGTCATTTTCTAGAGGGGTAAATATGGCGAAAAATTGTCATGACAAAAATCTGTCCAACACATGCCATTAAGACTACTGGTATGAGTATAAGTATTATTTTAAGCTATCTTTTCATCGAGACATCTGCAAACTGACAATTTGGAAAAAAGTTATGGCCACCACAATTTTACGGGCCCCCAGAATATATGTCTATACGACCCCCAGAATATAGGTTGGTCAAAAACCCTGAACATGCCCAAAACCATGTTTTGGGATGCTCTACTTGTAGCTACTAGTCTCCTGAACCCACATATCAAGTTTTATCAAAATTGGATAAAAATTGGCCGAGTTATGGGATAAAAACAAAAACCATATGCCCATATTTGGGCATACGCACCAAATTTGATCGATTTTGGTCCATAAATTGGTCAAATATCAATATTTTTGAATGAAACCAACTTTATATGGAAGTTAAGCATATATATTATACATTCTCTATGATTATCAGCTCAATATCTACCTAACTGTGGATTCTGTGTTCAAATAATCGCAAAAAATGAACAAAATCGCCCATATCTCAAACTGACTTCGCTCAAAACAATAGAACTCAATAGGGTTTCAATATTTTCACATGAAATTTTCAGAATCAACGTAGAATTGTCTCATGACCTTAAGTTTTGGGACAGAATTTTGAGTTAGGCCTTTAAAAAAAATTGGCGGCCAAAAATGTCTGATTTACAGTCATTGAGGTGCACATTGTATTGATACAGATAAAAACAGCCCCCCTCAATCATATCTAGGGACACTCCTTCAATCTTATTTAAGTATTTAGTTAAGATCCCTACTAAATGAGTGCATGAAAGCTTTTTAACTAGTAAAATTAAAGACTTTACTCATTACGGGTATAT